TTTAATAATTTTACATTTACTGTTAATCTTTTCACTTAAATTTTTTGATTCTGAAACTTTAATTTTCTAAAATTTCTTGCATCTATTGTTGGAAGTCGTGTAAAACTGCATATTAGTCTAATGATGGTTCAGCTTCTACAAAAGTTAATTAGGAAACAAGTTTGTGGAAGTTTTTGATTCCTCTCACAAAGCGTGAAAAAGGCACCAAAAATATCAAAAATTTTTGGTTTATTTGTGTAATATTGTATTTTTCAGCGCGTCCTTCCATGAACAGTTCAAGTCATCATAGGCCTCACCAACGGTGGTTACTGTTGGTACGAACTACTTCTGATAACTACGCCTCCCACAGAGAGTGAGTACTTTTGACCTGATCTTACAAAATACTGTAGTTGCTGCCTCTTTCATGCTGCCTACGATTACCAAAAGACTTCCGACCAAACTTTTACTTATTACGGAACCAGAAAATCCAGCGTGATAACTGCTAATAACAACAGGTGTGTAAAAAATCACAGTCTACATGCTGTATAGTTCCATCGATATTGTTCCACGTTTGAAGAAAAAGACTTACATCATCTGTTCCTGGCGGCAGCATTTGTTGTATAATGGAGAAATTATTTGTTAAATGATAATTGTTAACAAGCTGCAAAAGCTTCCATTTAATATACTATAATATCTTTTACAGAGCAGTTTTAACTTCAAATAAATTAAATCATTCGCCTCCGAATACACACACACACACACATCTCGATAATATGCTTTTTTGCATTTGCATAAGATGCAACAACGCATAAAAACCATTTCTTGCGAAAGTACAAAAAAAAAATTGTGATGCACATCTCCAAAGGCTACAGTTCCGCCCAGAATCGCTGGGCTGGTAATCCTTTCAAAACTGGAAAGAACGAAAGGGCCACGAGCAGGGTAACCAGCAGCATCAGTCAAAGTATCTGGAGAAGTTGACGGCTACATACCTGGCGAATCACGCCATGAATAGCAACTGTATATATGCCAATTGAAATAATGTGCAAGTAAACAGAAGAGAGGGAAGGAGGCAATTTTTGAAGAAGCAGAAATCTGGAACGGTCCGAATGCCGAAAGAAAAGTAGTGGCCGCAACAGGCTTATAACATTCATTCGCTCTCAGAG